GAAAGTCTCATCACAAAGTGGAATTTGCACCAAATGAAACACTAGGTCCCAAAAAGCACCTATCCTGAAGGACCTCACCAATACAGCATCTCCAAAAGAAAGTTTAAAAAGGGATACAACCCTCCTTCAGGTTGCACAGAAGTCTGCATTTGACCTTGACCTGATTTAGTGCCGGATCCTACCAGCATCCCCTGGTTTGGTCAAGGACAGAAGCTGGGGCTCCAGGGTGTACTAGTATAGGGAATGATGACTCCTCTAGAGATGAGACATAGAAAATATTTCTAAGTAGTTTGCTTCCCATTAACAGGGTCAGGTCCTATGGACTCAAACACAGACGTGTACTCTTTTCTCCTTGGTTCATTTGCTGTTTGCTATTGTTCTTATGGCTTATTTGTTTTGTTTAAAAAGTCAACGTTTTTACAAAGTATTTTAACAAATAATATGCGTGCTTGAATAAAAATTTCAGAGGACATGGTGTCATGCCTGAAAGAGCCACAAATCTTATTGTTTCTAAAGATTGAAACATGCTCAGACTTGATCTGGATGAAGAATCTTTAGTCTATGCAGATACAGCACAGCACTCCTTGCATCTTCTTCCACTTCCCTTCTCAAATTATGTATGAAACGAATATTGCAGACTGGTTGCTCCCCAGTGAATCCTAAACTGTCCTGAAGATCATTTTCTACCACCCTGAAAGCTTAACTACAGCTATGTTTAATTGGCGCTGGTGGGCAATTCATCTGGGGCGCTGCAATGTGACTATTCAGGAAATGTCTGGCTGCCATAGTGCTGGCGGGCTTATGCCTCTCAAGTCTCACAAGATCACTTGTCGAAATGTTTTGGGCTGCAATGTTGATGATGTGTCCAGTTCAATCAATCAATCAGCAAATATTTATGTTAAATGCATTTCTATCAGTACTGCTGACATGACACACCCCCTCTGCTGGCCAAGGTGCTCACATGAGTGGTGCTGAGGCAAAGACCAGGCTGATCAGTGGTTGGGTATTTTGCTTCTGGCCCTTTCCAAATGGACACACCAATTAATCCACCAGCTGGTAGTTATTGAGCACCTACTATGTGCCCACATTTTTTGATAGGCTTATGTTTCTTCCAGTCAAATGAAACTCTCAAAACCTACAGCTCTCTCCCTCCCTTTCACGTTCCTTTGTTTTTTTCAATAACAGTTATTATATTAACACCTAGCATTTATATGGAACAGTGTTGTTAACAAAGTATTTTTATTCTTCATTCTTCCAAAAATGCTGACAGGGAGGTGTTTTCCCTCTTCTACAGCTAAAGAACCAGGATATTGGGATTTGTCCAAAGTCACAGCCAATGAAGAGTGACTTTCACCAGCACCACATTTCTCTCTGTTACACATAAAGCACAGTAATAAGTACTTGGGTTTGGAAACAGGATTGATAATGAGATGAGTAAAATAGTTTTTGACCTCAAAAATTTAATATCAGAAGTAATGCAATAAATTGGTCTCATTTGAAATGAGAACTGAGAGCCCAATACATTTCTAAACCGCTCCCTCATTTCCATAGAGTGATGACCCGAATCTTTGGCATCTTCCATCGCTACCCGGAGCTCACAGGAGTCTTCCTGGCACATGTCTGTCTTTGGACCTGATTCAAGCTACATTTCTCAGATCGACACTTCTTGAAGTCTATGTGTACAGCTGTACTCAATGCAATGTCCATTTCCTTACCTTCCCTGGCTCTCCAATTCACTCCAGTGTGGCTGCTGGCCCTGCTGTTCCACTCAAACAGCTTCTGGGAAGGTCATGGTTGACCTTCGTGTAACTGAAGTCAAAACTGTATTTTTCTGTCTTTATCTTTGGATTTTCATGAGGCAAAAAAATAGTGGTAAACAAAGCATGAACTCTGAGGTTAGACCACCTGGGTGATATAGTTCGCGTCTTGGGTGTCCCCAAAGCCATGCATGTTAAATGCTGGTTCCATAGAGTGTCCCTTAAGAGCTGAGGCCCAGTGGGAGGTTTCAGGTGATGGGGGGAATGCCCTTGAAGGGGATTATGGACTCCCCCATTTCCTCCTCTCTGTCTCTCTTTTTGTGTCCCGTTTATGAAATGAATAGCTTTATTCAACCATGTTCTTCCCACAGGCCCAAAAGCAATGGAACCAATTGATCATGCACTGAAAACTCCAAAACTATAAAACAAACCAAACTTTTTTTAGTATTAATTCTATTATCTCAGGTGTTTGTTGCAGTAGTGGAAGGCTGACTTACACACTTGGCTTTCTAGATGTGCATCCTTAAGCAAGGTACTTAAACTCTCTGTGCTTCACTTGCTCCACCCCCAAATTCAATATGACAATAGCGTCTACTTCATAGTACAGGTGGGAGGATTCCATGAACTCATACATGTAAAGATCTGGGAAAATAACTGACTCGTATTAATGTTATAGGTATTAGATATTATTATTTGTTATTACTTTGTCAGATGCTTGACATGCTGATATGGTTTGGATCTGAAATGATCAACCTATTGATAGAATTATAATTTAAAAAGTGGGCTATTAAGAAGTACTAGAAGTTTAGACGATGATGCCTTATTAGAAGAAGTTGATCCTTAGGGGCATGCCTTTGAAGGTCATATTTTGTCCCCAACCCCTCTTCTTCCTGTATCTCTTTTTTCTTGGCCACCACCAGGTGAGTAGCTTTGCTCCATCAAGTGCACCCAACCATGATGTTCTCCCTCCCCATGGGCCCAGAAACAACATAGCCAACTGCTCATGAACTTAAACCCCTACAACTTTAAGTTAATTTCTCAGATATTTTGTCACAGCAATGAAAAGCTGACTAACACACATATTAATCATCTTTATTCTTTTTTATTTTGCTTAATATTTAAATTTTAGTTGTCATTGAACACAATATCTTTATTTATTTATTTTTATGTGGAGCTGAGGATCGAACCCAGGGCCTCACATGCACATGCTAGGCGAGCACTCTACCGCTGAGCCACAATCCCAGCCCCCATCTCATTATGCTTTAACTCCAATCGTCCATTGATTTCTCTGGGACCATGTACTCATGATTTTATACTATCTGCTATAGTCGTATTTCTCACTCTCCTTTGCTATATTTCCACCCCCTCTCTGTTCTTCGTTTATTTATTTTTTACTTAACAAATAAATATTTAAGTTTTTCAAGTTTTACTTACAAGGTTTACTCTTTATATAATTTTTCTACCCCTCAACAATCTCATCAAAATTCACACATTAGAATATTAAATTCATTCAAATTCTCTTTCCAGCACAGCTTACTCCTCTGAATTCTTGGTTGACATATCAAACTGCCTTTTTGACATCTCCACTTCAATGTCTCCCATACATCAACTCAACTTTTCTCCCAAAGCAGTCACTTTCTGGTATTCCCCCCTCAGTAAATATAACCAGCATTCAATGTGTTGTTGAAGCTATTAAGCCAAGAATTTTCCAGACTACTTCTGTCACACCCATCCCTGATATCTAATACAAGCCCTAAGGATAAGACCTTCTTTATCCTCTGATTCACATTCTTCACATCCATGCAATATCTTTAAAAGAACTCTCTTCTCACTGCTCTAACTTATGTCTATTTTCCACACATTGAAAAGAATGATCCTTTCAAACATGAGGAAATCCTAGCATTACCTGATTAAATCATGCCAATGTCTTCCTTTCACTCTCATAATAAAGTCATACTATCTACTTGACAACTCACAAAACCTACAAATGTCAACTTCAAATCATCCCGTACTTTCTCTACTTTTCTTAACCGTAGTTCTTGACTCTTCTTCATTTCATTGAAAGCTCCTTGCTCCCTCTCAGAGCAAGGATGTTGCACATGCTGGTCCTTCTGTTCTTCTCCTCTTTGCCTACTCATCATGACATCTTGGCTGTGGCATCACATCCTCAGGAAAACCTCATCTGACTTTCTCAACTTGATAACATCTTCATCTCTCTCCTCTTTGTAGCACTTACCATGGTTGCAGTTTTACATACCTTCTTGTCATTCTTTGATTGTGTCTGTCTCATATAGTCAACTACACAAACTCAATGAGGCTACGCCTTCCAGGGTGGGTATTTCCACTGTTTAACCAGGATCTGGCATATAGATGCACCTCCAAGATGCATTGGTTCACGAAACTTAACCCTTGGCACTCTGGGTGCATCTCTGCAGGAATGTTAGGTACAAAAATACATGTGTGCTAATTACAGTATCAACCAACTCTGCTTAAATCCTGGCATGATTGAGTACATGTGGTCCCAGAAATTGAGGACAAATGAATTAGAAATCTGTCAGAGTACATCATAATTTCCATGACTAACATAACTGTAAGAATAGAACATTTCAATTCCGTTTGTCTTAAGATTGCTAAGATGCAACTCCTGGGTCCTCTGTATTCATGGATGACCAAAATATAACAACATAATTTTATGTATTAGTTATGTCTTATTTGTACTCTAACATATAACTAGTATTTGAATTATTTTTTCCCTTGAGAGGAAGCTGTTTTAAATTATGAAGACTAAACTTAGACCCTACTGATAGTCCCAAAACCACAGTAAGGGAACAAGCTGGGAATTCCATTATTTTATCTTCAGGATGGCCAGAACTATTTCAAACTTCAGCCTTTTGATGACTTCACAGATGAATAACAATGTGGTTGGCTTTATTTAAAAAAAAAAAGTAGGAAGAAATTAACAGGCATTTCTTTTCTGCAATTCCATCCCAGAGCATAATAATAAAATAAATTATTTTACGTCCTTGATGTTCAAATGTCAAAAACTCCAAATTTCTTACATAAACAAAATCAGATGACTCTGCTTGGAAAACTTTTTCCTATTAATATAGGATCTGGTTTTTTTTTTTTTTTTTTTTTTTTTTTTTTTTAAATGCCTCTGGACAGTTCATTTGAATGGCCACAAGAGAGCAGTAAGAAATTAAACCTTAGGAAGATGACTCACAGTCACACTGTTCTGTGTGCTCTCTGCTATTAGGAAGGATTGAAAGACAAGCCCACTCATACTTGTTCTTGGATTTAGCAATATACTTTAGAATTTATTCACTTTACTTTTTCTTCTTGAAAAGCTATTTAGGAAGGCAAATATAGACAACATGAGTAAATTAAGTGAAAAGAATCAAAGCTTTTAGAAAATCAAGTTCATGTGTGAAAATAGAAGAAAATAATTACCCAGAGCAAAGGGACATCTTGAAAGGTCATCTGGCCCATCCCTGTGGATTATGCAAGCCTGACAGAAAGGTATGTAACCCATTTACAAAGTACCCCAGAAGACTTCTGTGACTCTTTCTAGAGCATAGTCAAATTTTTAAAATATTAACTATTAGGAATTTTTAAATGTCTAATCCTATTCTTCATGTTATAATTTAACCATTATTCAAAAAAAAATATCTAGGGACATCCTGAATCTTTCTCTAATGCCCATCCCTATTTCTTTATGCATCCCTGCTCATTTTTTTAAACATTTTTTTTTAGTCATAGATGGACACAATACCTTTATTTTATTTGTTTCTATTTTTATGTGGTGCTGGGGATTAAACCCAGTGCCTCACACATGCTAGGCAAGCACTCTACCACTGAGCCACAACCCTGGCCCCACACCCCTGCTCCTTTTAGCCTATATTAGCTTTGCTACGTTTTACTTAGAACTTGGATGCTATTAATTTTTAAAAATAATTTAAAAATAATAAATTTGCAAAATGACTAACAGATAGTTTTAATATATGAGACACTGTTAGAAATTAGTCTAGAAAAACATTAAAGACCAGCATAAAATAATAAATAATAAGCAGGCAGTTTGCAAAAGTAGGATGATAGTCAATATACAGACAAAAATTGTTCATGGTAATCAGTAAACAAAAAATGCAAACTTCTGGGCATGGTAATGCATGCCTGTAATCCCAGCAGTTTGGAAGGCTGACATAAGAGGATTAGTGTCTCAAAATAAATTTAAAAAAATGGCTGGGAATGTAGCTCAGTGGTAAAGTGCCCCTGAGTTAGACTCCAACAGAAGAAGAAGAAACAGAAGGAGAAGGAGAAAAAGAAGAAAGTTGAAATAGCATATTTTATGTTACTGGATAAGCACAGATTTAAAAGGACAACAATGTTGGGTATAACAAGAAAGAAAAGCTACACACAAACACAGGTCACAGTGGGAAAAACTTTCAAAAATTAGTTTAAAAATTCATATCAAAAAATTTTAAAATGTGAATTTCCTTTAACCTAGTAATTTTATTGATAGTAATTAATTATATGGAGACAACCAGGCAAATAAATGTCTTTGTTTTAATAGTAAGAAGAATTAGGAAAATAAGAACTTGAATTGTCTCAAAAAGGAAAATGAGTAAATTAAGGTATACCTATACAAATGGATTCTCATGAAAGCCATTACAAATGCTACAGATACATGTTCATTGACATTGAACTCCACGGCCCATTTTAGTTTAAAATGAGGTTGAAAACGTCACATATAGTATGAATCCAGCTAGGTAGAATCCAGGACTGCTTTAAAAGATGTCTGGATGATATAAACCAAAAAGGCCGTCTGCCTGGGTAATGGTCTTATAGATGTTTGTTTTTCTTTTTCAGAACTTCCTTTAGGTCTGAGTTCATTTTCTGTTTTGTTTGTTTGTTTGTTTTGTTTTGCTTTTGCTTTTTATTTTTTTAGGTTGGTTTTGTTTTTTAACAGTTAGTGTATGTTGCTTTCAAAATTTGTAAAAACATAAAAAAGCTATTTTTGTGTTGGCAGATAATCTTCATAATCTTAAACATTAGTTTGGTGAATTTGTGAGAGGTTTGATGCTTAATCCCCATATATCAAGTTGCAATGAAACCATGAATTAATAAACTACAATCTGTGACATTCACATTTTCTTAATAATGTGAAAGAAAATACATAACAACTTGATTTACTAGGGTAAATCAAGTTGGGTCTAAATGAAACTAATACAACCAGATAAGCAATTTTTTAAAAATTCACTCAAATAGATTTTCATACTTCATAACATAAATACCTTTGTATTTCAAGGGAAAAAACAAACAAACAAACAAACAACAAAAAAAAAAAAAACCTCCTTACATTTTACCCATGAGCTACTCAGCATCCTGGCATTTAAACTATTTGATTTTTTTCTGAATGTTTTAAAGAACCATATTCTCATAGATTTTCAGGTCCACATTTAATCTGTAACAAGTATGATGAAGCATATTTCAAAAGAACCTTTATTACTCCATGTGGCCTCTGTATAGCTGAGGATAGCTTACACAATGATAAAAAATCATTTTATAGGGAATTTGCAATTACTACATATTTGGTAAAGAATATTACATTTCTTAGCACAAGATCTCAGTAATTATTTAATTTTGGCTGAGTTTGAATTATCCCTATATTTTCTAAAGTTATCCACCACCAAAATGTCTCCTATGAACCTCCTATTAGATTAGACCTCAAAACAACACTGCAAGCTATGTATTATTATCTCCAATTTAAGATGTTAAACTTGGGCTCAATACTTGGCCCAGGAATGGTGTTGCTGAAACTAAGAAAGCATCTCACACACTATGCAGCCTCCACAAGCCTGGCATCTATTTTCTTAATAGAAAAGATAGCTTTTCCCCAACTGTTCACACTTTGGGGCTCGTTTTCCTCGTATTACTGAACCCTTCCAGATGGAAAAGGTATCTGAGATTTTCCTCCGTTTATGCTTCTGGGAAATGATAGTCAGGCTCTGATGGTGGATAGAAGGCAAAGCAGTCCAATGGACAAGTCATAGTTTAACCACAGATGGTCCAAAGCACCTTGAAGTTGCTATCCACTTTTTTTGTTCCCCATTTGTGGAATTGGAGCAGGTGTCCCTGCTACCCTTATTAACTGGTTGCAACTCTGCACCCCTTCAGCATGTATTTTATCCTTCCCAGAAAAGTTTTAAAAAAATTGTGTCATTGAGACTTGAGAGCAGAAAAGGAAGTAAATGCCACTGTTTTATCCATCACAACTGAAAATCTAGTGTTTAGCAGCCAATCAAATTTTATTTGAGAGCCAGAGCCTTTAAATGCTCTCAAGTGCTGGGCTCCCAGGATGACTTGGAAACAGGACACAAGGCTCTGGTTGCACAATAAGGAAAGCATTGCCGTCAAGGATGAGTAAATGCACTAGTCATTTCCAGTCTTCCTCTGGCTAACTTTGAAAAGGAATTACTTAACCTTGCACTGGTCTTCCTCTCTTTATTAAAAAGCTTTGTTGAACTTCTCTTTGTCGAAGATCCCACGATGCTTACCACAATCTCTTCCTACCCTTCTCATTCCCTGAATGGCAGTTCTTTCCACTCCCTCACCTTTCATTTCTGCATGCTTTAAAATATGAAAAACAAGGGGATAAGTTTGAACTTTAATAAATCCAAGGGAAATAAAAAAAGAGCAAACACATTCAAACAGCAAATAGGCAGAAAGTAGGGACACAGGAGGCAAGGAGGGAAGGTCTCGATCTAGTAGGGTGGGGATCAGAAACGTGTGGTGTTTCCTCTGCTTGGCATGAGTCACTTCACATGAACTCCATCTAGAATAGGGACATGTAAGAACACTTCCTTAAAGACATTCTATGTGAGCAGACACAGTAATAGGTAAAAACTGTTAACAAGTTGTTTCTATAAAAACTGAAAGTATTATTTTTATCCCTTCCTTAGCTTGCATGGCCTTCACATTTCTGTCTTGCTGATGTTAGAAGAGGGAGTGTTATCACTAATTATTCTCTATTTATATGTAAATATTTGGCTATTTTAGTAGAGTTAATGAGTTATATGGTAAGTATGAGATTGTTCAACTTATTGAAAATAAAAATCAGATTCCATTTTTTTTTCAATACTGACTGGGAACCTGTTTTGGGTTCTATTTCTAGGCAGTAATAGAAACTAAATAAATGCAAAGTTCTGCCAGATGTGGTGGCACATGACCTGGGATGCCAACGCAGGAGGATTGCAAGTTTGAGGCCAGCTTCAGCAGTTTAGCCAGACCCTCGGCAACTTAACAAGACCTTGCCTCTAAATAAACAATAGAAAGGACTGGGCATGTTGGACAGTGGTAAAGTGTCCCTGAGTTTAATCCTTGGAATAAATAAATAAATGTAGGATTCTGACAAGAATTAGGGCAATGGGAAAAGTGAATGAAAATCAGTGAACTCCGTGTTAGTTGTAGTAGACTGAGGCTCTGAAACCCATCCTGAGCTTTTTCTTCTTAGTGAAGAAACTAAGGTAAACTCAATGATTTGGTCTTCATCCACTGGATGACTATATTCTGTAAGCTATGGTCCAACAGGAATAAGGTGAAATCATTTTCCTTAGATAGCACACATCATGCACAGAAAGACAAAAAAAAAATACAAGTAAACTAATAAAGCAACTAAATAATATTGGGATTAATGAGTGCAGTGAAGAAAATAAGGTAGAATGGAGATTCCCTCAGGGATTTCTTTAGATACAGTGCTCCTGGAGGAGTTCTCTAAGGAGCTGCCATGAGGGACCAGCTGAGACTTTAAGGATGAATGAGAGGATGGTACTAAGATGGAGCAGGAAAAGAGCCTTTTAAAATGAAGGAATAGCCATCTCAAAGGTTTCAGGAAGGAGCCATTAGGCATGGAACAGAGAGACTGGTAAGAAACGAGGTCAGAAAAATGGTTCCTCCCAGATAGTGTCTGGCTTTTGATGTCACAGAAAGGATCCTGGATGTTGATCAGAGTGCAGTGAGAAGCCACTGGAGCATTCCAGCAAGAGGTGAACTATGTCACCTATGCTCATTTTTGAAAGAAAATTCAGCCTCCCCTGTGGGGAAATAATTATAGGATGATAAGAATGAAAGGACAGAGGAGATGAGTTCGGAACCTGCTATATAAATCAGGACAGCCAAGATGGTGCCATGTACCAGGTTTATCATGCAATATGAAGTAGGATTGGGGCTTGGCTTTTCATGGTGCCTCTAGAAGTCTTTGGCAGCGTTCCTTTGGAAGATATTCATATTGTCTCACAAACTGAACTTGTTGGTAAGAGTCAGAACTAGAGCCCGAAACAGATGTGCTAGCTCCATAGCTCTACCTAGAAAAAAACATTTTCAGTTTTAGTTCCATTCATCATGATTCTCTTCTCCACTTCAAGATCATTGCAGGACAACTTGAATTGTATATGATGCTTACTGTCTTCATCCTCACCTGCTGCAACCCCTAGAATTGTCAACCTCCCCAAACCACTACAGCA